TGAACTCTGGGCCTGGGCGCTGTCCCTCAGCTCTTCAGCTCAAGGCTAGCGCTCTACCACTTGAGCCACAGCTCCACTTCCGGCTTTTTTTTTCTTTTTGCTTATGTGGTGCTGAGGAATCGAACCCAGGGCCTCAGGCATGCAAGGCAAACGCTCTACCACTGAGCCACCTTCCCAACCCCTTAGTAGGGAATATTAAAGGATCTGTGTGATGCCAGTAATACAAAACAGGCTGGCAAGTCTTAAAAAACAAATCTAGCAAAATGCATGGAAATTCAGATTATTGCTTGTCTGTAAATTAATTATTGTCTTGGTCCTGTTTATTTTGTGCTCCAAGGCCATGTTCATTTCACTGATTAATAGAGAGATTCACTTTGCTTTCAGTGAGTCCTTTGTCCTTGGATTGTATTTCTTTAATTTCTCTATATTGTTCCTCTCTAATCCCTGCCTCCTGTTCTCATCAGTGTTTGCTTTATTTTGCAATAAACAAGAACATTCTGTTTTCCATCTTTGAGGACAATTGCAGGTACTCATTACCTCTAGGAATATTATTCTCAACTCCCACTTTGATCACAATTACAGCATTACCTATTTTTCTTCCAAAAGTAGTTATCTTAAGATTCCTTCCCCCCCCTTTTTTTTTCAGCTATGAATTGGAGATGATATCAGCATCTACCTCTAGGGGCTGGCCATGACATGTAAATGGTCAATTAAATATTATATGCAAAATAGCTGGAATACTGCTTGTACAAACCCTTGCATAAATTAATTGTTATTATTAAAATTTGGGATTCACATTTTATATGTACCATATATGTTGATTCTTATATCTATTAAATATATTCAATCGTTTTTTTTTTTGTCCTGGTGTTTTTTCACCATTGATTCTCACCTTAAGCTCTTACCCTTCGCAAGGCTACAGGAAAACAACTAAGAAATAGATAATATCAAATATTTAGGTGGGTCAGTGGTAGAGTGCTTGCCTTGCATGCATGAAGCCCTCAATTGGATTCCTCAACACCACATAAACAGAAAAAATTGGAAGTGGCACTGTGGCTCAAGTGGTATAATGCTTGCCTTGAGCTAAAGAGCTGAGGTGCAGCGCCCAGGACCAGAGTTCAATCCCCACGACCAACCAAAAAAAACCCAAAAAAACACACAACAAAAAAACTCAAAACAAATAATGATTGAGAATACAATGCTTAAAAGCTCGAGTTATGGGCTAAAGAAATTAAAGCAAAATGGGCTGAATGACATATATTTTATTTCAAGTTGAGGCAAACACTCGAGGAACTCTAACTCCAGAAAGGACTATTAGCCTGACTTTACCTCCATGCAGCAAGGTATAAAGGTTAGTTGGGGAGAAACATCTTTCCAAGGCTGGAAAGTGAGCTGATCACTAGAGGCTGGTTATTAAATAGAGCATCCCTTCGAAGTAATGCTTTCCTTCCACCAGCTTCTAAATCCCCTGACCCCACAGGCATCTACTAATAGCATCCCAGGTATGTCTAAATGTCCATTTGTCCTTTCTTCCTTAACTCCTTATCTAACATCACAAAAGTATCCTGATTTTACTGTATCTTTGACTTCTTTCTCTTTTGAAGATCCTTATATAAGTATAAAAGTAATAAATTTAAATTCTTTTTTTATCTTATGAACTAAGTCTTACATTGAGTTCTTAGATCCAGTGAAACAGTTGAGAATGAATTCATGAAGTAGTGGGATTGTCTTTCTGCCCAACAGAGTTAATTAGGTAATGTAATCCACACAAGATCAACAGAGACTAAGGAAAGGATCCTTACAGCTGTCAGGGAGAAAAGATCTATCACCTATAAAGGAAAGCCAATCTGAATAACTACAGAGGCCCAAAGAAACATAGGTCCCATGGTTTCCCTTATTTGCAATAACTAGTAAACGTCGGAGACAAGCAGAAATGGTCAGATAAGTTGATGTTAGGCGAAATGAACCCCACGATAAGGACTCAAAAGGTTTTTCTTTCTTGCTATTGTTTCTAGCATATTTATAAGATGATTTTTTTCTTGCTTTGTGTGTCCCTTCCCCATAGTATAAGCCCTCTTTTCACTGTATTTGATGTTGGTATAATTTAGGGAGGGGAAGGGAAAAAACAAGTTGTTTAAATAGGGATACAGGTGGACCCATTGCAACAATGAGATGTACAAGATGTTATGTCGAAAAACAAACTTTACAACATTGGCGCGAGGGTGAGGGGTGGGGGTGGGAGTGGAGTGGGGGGAGAGATGGGAAGGGATGGGAAGGGGAAACAAAGGAGGAGGCAAGAATACTTGAAAGAAATATGCTCATTACCTTGTTCATGTAATTGTAACCCCTCTGTACAGTATTTTCACACCTCAAAGTACCCAGTCAACCACTATTGAACAAAATAAAAATCGAAAGTTAAAAAAAATAAAGAGATTGTGACAGGAGTGAGTGAACAGCCAAGAGTAGTAGTCTTTCCTTATTCTTATTTGAAACAGAGCCATTTCATTTATATCTGTTTACTTTGTTAGGGCTCCACATGGAATTTATTTAAAAAAGGCTGGGTGGGAGAGGATTCTGTTACTTATACTAAGCTTAAAGTTTATCAGGTACACATCCCCCAACTACCATAGGACTTAACTTCTGAGATTTACTGACAGTCGTGAAGGTGGCAAGTAAAGGTGGCCAATTTAAAATGGATTATTCTCAGTTCTAGGAAAATGTGAATTTCCAGATTCTGATGTATCTAGTTTGTTATTGTTTGGACTGAGGTCTGAATCACTCAAGGAACAACCAATTAATATAGGCACTGAAGAATGAAGACAAATGTAAGCCTTTAAGTGTAAATTTGCCACCAGTGGATGTGACTGTGTCTGTGGGCTTATCCGTGGTGCGTGGTGAAGCATGACACATACTCTGAGTCACATTCTGGTAACACAGAGTTGTCTGTGAGTGTCTCTTGTCTCCATCACACCTATGTTACGTTACTCATATGGTTGAGATCTCTTTTATTCAAAGCTGACAGCTGTAATAAGAGAAACATGAGGCTTAAAAAAAGGAAATGAGTCCAATAGGCCCAGTAACATTGGGAAAGCCAATGAATTGTTTTGTGAAGATATGTCCATCAGCGAGGTATGCTAAACATTAAAAACAAAAGAGAACATAATGTATCATGAAATTTTGTTATGTTATATACATATGAAAGGACGAGATAGAATCAGATCTGAAGGGAATAGGTACTTTTTGTATAGTTTTCTTTATTTTCCTTTCTTTTTACTGGTATTAGGGTTGGACTAAGGGCCTGAGGCCTGCTTGGCTTGTTCTCTATTACTTGAACTTGAGCCACACCTGTGGCCTACCTTTTGGGTGGATGTTTTAGAGATGGAGTCTCATAGACTTTATTGCTAAAGCTGGTTTTGAACCACAATTCTCTGGAGTTCAGCCTCCTGAGCAGCTAGATTACAGTTGTGAGCTACTGATGGCTGGCAGTAATATGTATTTCTTAAGTCAAGTTATGGCCCCAAAGATGTGAAGGCTATTGCTTTCAAAGGTTAGACTTTATGTAGTCTTCTTCTATGTGAAAATGGAATAATAAGTCATATTTACCTCACAGAGTTAATGTAAATAATATAGGTGATTAATTACATGAGACTTTTTTGAGAACTTTCAGCAAAGTGTTTTATAAGCTTTAGAAGTGTTAAATGTAAGGATAAGTCATTTGTTTTACAAAAATAACATAGTATCATAATCTGTGGTTAATAGTAGCATGAATCACTGTGATAATATATTGAGGTCAGACTATTACATGAAATTCTTAAGCTTGTTTTTTTTGTTCTGGGGTTTGAACTCAGTTTCTTTATCACTTCAGCCATGTTTCTAGCCTGTTTTTGCAATAGCTAGTTTTTGGATAGTGTTGCTGGTCTCAGACTATGATCCTACTATTTCTATCACTTGTATGCTGGGATTACAGCCTTTTACCACAATGCCAGACATGCTCATTGAAGTGGGGGTCTGGACCACTTTTTGTCTAGGCTGACATTGAATCATGATCTCCCTGATTTCTTCCTCCTGAGTAGCTGGGATGTATGTATAAGCCATCAATGCTGGTCCTAAATGATTCAAAGTTAACCTTATATATGTCTTTTTTTTGCTGCATCTATGTATGTATACTTTTTATGCTGTAGCAGTGTGTAGATAGGTCAGTATTTGACATTATATTTATATTATTGCCATGATATAGTTAAAAGAAAGTAACTGGATCATTAAGCTGATATTTTTATTTAGCACTTCTGGGAATGATTTTTTTTTAAGGACAACAGAACTATGGGTATATTTTTCAGTTACTATTGGAAATTGGTTTATTTATATAATTGTTTTGCATGTTCATACCTGAAGTTAATGCATTAAATTAATACATCAAATTAATAAGTACTATTCCTGATAACTGTATTTATGTAAAGATCTTATTAATATTCATGTCATAAAACAAATTATTGTCCTTCTTTCCATAACCTGCTTTGCTTTTCCCTGAAAACATAAAGGTAGATAGGCAAACACTCTTTTCCAACTTGATTATTTCAGTGGTTTTACTATTAAATATTTTGTCCAGAAAAGACTGGAGCATTATTTTCCTTGATGGTATTATTCATTAGAGCCAATTTATTATCAACCTTTTCTTTTGTTTTTGTTGTTCATTTGTAAATGCCTCCCCCAATTGATTCCCTCTACTGGGATGTCAAAAGGAAAAAAGGGGCAACCAGTGGATCTAGTTTCTTACTAACTTTACCTCCTTCACTTCAACCCCAAATGCCCCTGTTATTAAAATTAGTCATTCTTTCAGACCTTTATTAAAAAGCATATAACATACATATAGCATTCTGGATTAAATACGCAACTAATTTTTCCTTACCCCAAACCTTACTATTTCACACCAAATGTATCCTTTGGTTTATTGTACTTGTAGTAGGTTTAATTTTTTTTTAAGTATCTAGCTGTATTCACTTTATGTGAGTTTTTTTTCCTCCACAAATGAATTACATTTTCTCTGAGGATTGTGTTTGTTGTTTTTGTTTATTTTTTGTTTCATTAGTACCAGGCTTCTAGTAGGGACCTAATTTGTGTTTAGCTTCTCTCAGAAAACTGACCAATGAACAGCACTTATACTTTAAAGAAATAAAACAGAAATCTCAAGAGCATAAGCTTTAGCTAAGTAGTTTCACTTCAAGTAACCTATTTCTGAAACTTAATCTTGTGTATGAAGAATAATTATAATATACTTTTTACAGGGAAATCAAATCATTTTAGTTTTTCCTATTTCTCCTCTTATGAAACACATACTAAGGTTTTTTCAATGTTCTGTGGGTTTTGTATGACAAAAATAAACAAAAATATCTGGCCCATTTAGTATATCCAGATAAAGTTCCATTTTGGGATGCAAGTTTTTTGGGACCCCTCATGATTCTGACTTTACTTCTTAGCACATTCTTGTACCTGGGTTTATCTTACAGTACATTTACAAGCATAGAGACAATTTATTCATCTGTTATATAATAAGGTATTCATTATTTGCAAGAGTTTATTCATCTTTCCTTCAATGATCTGATTGTTAGAAAGGCAGACTCTGCAGGTCAGTGAGCTGGAAACTACTTGCTAATCAAGTTAATTCTCCCTCACTTTCATAGACAGAAAATCCTTATTTTTCAAGCATTAAATCCCAAATAAGGAACGGTATATTAACTATCTATGTAAATTTCACATACCCCCTAAATGGACTTAATTAACCATTAAATCCACATCAACAATAGGAAACAGGAGAAGCTAGGCTCAATGGAGGCCATCGACAATCACAGATGTAACTATCTATGTAAATTTCACATACCCCCTAAATGGACTTAATTAACCATTAAATCCACATCAACAATAGGAAACAGGAGAAGCTAGGCTCAATGGAGGCCATCGACAATCACAGATGTCTGGGTGGCAGGGGTAGGAAGGATTGTGAATTTGAGGCCAGGCTAGACAATATAGAATATTGAGTATATAGACTATACTATATGACCATATTCACTTGAACAATGATTTACCTGTGGTCCAGCAAAGACACAACTGAGGATCCAGGCCAAACCAGTCATGGACTGTTCTAGCTTGCGGTTGCTTTGCACAGCCAGTGGTCTAGTGATGGCCAGCGAGCGATCCAGGCTGATCACCACCATCAGGAATGCTGGGGCATACATGGAGAAGAGCTTCAAGTAGCTGAGGACTTTGCAGAGGAATTCCCCAGCGTACCACTGGACTGTAATATTCCACATCCCATCCAGGGGCATGACGATCAGAGTCTCCAACAGGTTGGCTAAAGTCAGATGCTTTAAGAGCACCTTCATTCTAGAAAGCTTTTTCCCTTTCTCCTTACGAGTCCACTTCTGCAGTTTCAACAAGAAAGAAGCGTTAAAGATGGTAGAGAGCAGAAAAAGGAAGAAAGTCACCGTCACTCGGATCTTTCCAGATAAGGTCAGGGTGGGAAGGTTGCCCGGCACCAGCGGGATGCTGTTGTTGATGGCTGAGCAGTGGTTTTGATTCTGTTCAGGAGAAACACTGTTCGCCATCTTTCCCCAATAATAAAGCTTCAAGACCTGTGTTGTTTCGGGTAACTGATGTCCTATTTTATCCCTCTCTCTCCTTTTTAACATGGAAACGTCACAGGTTTAGATTTATGTCAGTTTTTTCCCCCCAAGGTACTTGACGCTTGTGTAAAATATCAAGGCAAACTTGTTTTGAAGATTTGTAATTCAACAGAGTGCTAAAATAGAGGCTGCTAAACACATTCTGAAGGTCGTATGTAACTGTACCACCTCAGCAGATGGCCTGCTTTCCACAACACTTTTTCCTGAGTGAAGGATATTTGGAGCCTAAAGTTAAAGTCTCTGGTGGTATTATTCAACTCAGTATAATGAAGACATTTTCTGAAAATCCTCCGTGTTATAATTCTATTCAATAGAGAGATCCAAAATGAAATGAAGGAAATTATATAAGAAAAGGCCTGATCCATTTAAAATCTGTGAATTTAAGACATTTAAATTTTTTTGTTTTCTTTTTCAATGACTTTAAGCACTCATTAGATGTTTATGCCAATTTAGAACTATTTTATACAAAATACTAGATTAATACTTTAATCCTTAGAATGAATTTTGTCTGATAAAAATTTTATCATTTATCAGTTTTAATGTTTCGCTTATGTTAGAATAAAACGCTTTAAGAGCACCTTCATTCTAGAAAGCTTTTTCCATTTCTCCTTATGAGTCTACTTCTGCATTTTCAACAAGAAAGAAGCTTTAAAGGTGGTAGAGAGCAGAAAAAGCAAGAAAGTCACCATCACCTGTTTTTACTGCCTTGATTTTTATAATTGTTTGGATATTGTATAGCCATTTTTTATGACAAAAATATCACAGGGAAAGTAGTTATAGGAACAGATACTTACAAAAATAACTAACTACTTTTACAAATATTTATATATGATATAACCTTTTACATGTTACATGAGCATTTTTGCATTAGAACCACTTAGAACCTTTGTATCACTGCTTTAACTTGCATGGAGAATGATTGATTATGGTATTTCATGATGCTGACATTGGAATTTATTCAATCATTAACTTGATTTGATTAGACACAAACTAGTTTGATTCTCTAGCAGTCAGAGCTGAGGCAGTATTAAAGATAATACGCTTATCTTTGTCAGTGGTAAAAATGGACTAGAACATCTGGGGTTTTCAGGACCTTATACTAGAGAAGATTTGGTAGTATACTGAGCACGTCTTATATGTCAGTTTTTCTTCTAGATTCCATCTGTACTTTAGATATCCAGAACTTGTTTCTCTTGTAACTGGAACTTGGTATCCTTTCATGGATAGCCCATTTCTCCCAAACTCCAGTCACAACCAACCATTGTTTGTTTCTGTGAGCTCAGCTTTCTTACGTTCTACCTGTAGGAAATGCCATTTGGGATTGGTTTTCTGTATCTGATCTATCTTATTTATATCAAAATGTCCTCCAGTTCATTTATGTCATCACAATTGGAAGGATTTACTTGTTTATGGCAGATTAATATTCCATTGTGTTTGAATTTCCCCATATATTTTCTTTTTTCAGTATTTTCTGATAGACCCCCTCTCTCCCTCTCTCCCTCCCTCCCTCCCTTCCTCCCTTCCTCCCTTCCTTCCTTCCTCCCTTCCTTCCTTCCTGCCTGCCTTCCTGCCTTCCTGCCTTCTGTCCTTCCTTCTTTCCTAATAGGGCCAGTCCCAAGATTAAAACAGAATCAGAAATTAAACCTGAAAAATCAGAGCAGCAAGCCCTCTTCCTCTTATGTTCCCTTTCCTTTTAGTTCTGAAATAAAGTTACATCTCCTTTAATAGGAAGACATAGAACAAAGAGCAAGTTACCATCTTCCTTTTAGGTGTTAAAAAGTTGATAACTTGCCAGGGCCAGTGGCTCACACCTGTAATCCTAGCTACTGAGGAGGCTGAGATCTGAGGATCACGGTTCAAAGCTAGTCTGGGCAAGAAAATCCATGAGACTCTTATCTCCAATAAACTACTAGAAAACCAGAAGTGGTGCTGTGGCTCAAGTGGTAGAGTGCTCTCCCTGAACTGAAGAGCACAGGGACAGCACTCAAGCCCAGAGTTCAAGCCCCACAACTGACAAAAATAAATAAATAAATAAATAAAGGTTGACAACTCCCCTGGCACAGGTGGCTCAGGCCTGTTACCCTAGTTATTTGGGAGGAAGAGATTGGGAGGATTGCAGTGTGAAGCAGTTTGAATTATCCTGTCTCAACCATTAGGTGGGTACAATGATATACGTTGGTCATCCTAGCTGTGCAGGAGGCTGAAATTGGGAGGACCATGGGGCTCGGCCAGCCTAGTCAAAAAAGTTGGTGAGATCCCATTTCAACAGCTAAAACTAGGCTGTACATGCCTGTGTACCTATCATTCCAGCTATGGTGGAAAGCCTAAATTGCTGTCGAATTCAGCCTTGGAATCAGAAAAGACAACCCTGTCTCAAAGAAAAGTGAAAAACAAAATGGATGCTATAAAGACACACATTGTCCTCACGTTTTGGGTAAACATTGAGGACTTGTCTCCATTGTGGTAATAGACTACCTTAAACTTACCATCGATTCTTAGAAGCTCAGCAAAACAATTACAAGTTACTAGATGATATGGCCAGATATGTCTAGATGGGATTTCAACATGAAAACCCACAGATACATAGCTCATTTTAATCCTACTTCACCCTCATCTACATATGAAGCAGGTATTTTTCTTCTGTTTCCCTCTTTCTATTTTATCCTATTTTACTAAAATAAAACCTAAAATTTCACCTTATAGCTCCTTTTTGTGAGATTCCTCAAGGTGCTTTTGTTGTGAATCTCACGTCCTTGTGAATCATGTGATAATTGAAAAGCAGAGCCCCTTCATTCCCCTTTCTTTTCTCTGGTAATGTTTTTCCACAATGGCTGTACCCCACTTTTTTAATGACATATCAAAGGTGAGGTAATGCCTCAATGTCATTTTAATTTGGACTTCTTTCATATGCCTGTAGATGTGTGTGTGTGTGTATACATATACACATATATGCATATATATACATATACATATATGTGTGTATATGTATATAAACATATATACACATATACATATATGTGTATATATATATATATATATATATATATATATATATATATATACCTTCTTTGGAAAAATGTCTTTAGGCCATTTTCAAATTATTATTGTTTTTCTTTGTTTTGTTTTCTGTATTGAGTTGTTTGAGTTGATTACATATTTTTATATTTGGTTACTATATACTTATCAGGTATATGGTTTCCAGATATCTTATAGTTTTTTTCATTTTGTTAATTGTTTCCTTTACACTAAAGAAGTTTTTAATTGAAATAGTACTGCATATTTACTTTTGCTTTTGGTGTCTGTGCTTTTGGTGTTCAAGCCAAATGACCCTCGCACAGTTCAATATCAATGAGCAATGTTTTCTTATAAGAACTTTGCAGTGCTAGATCTTATTTAAGTCTTTACTTAATGTAGAGTTTTTGTCTATGATGTAAGATAAGTGTTTTCATTGTGAACTCTTTCCTGATATTAATAGTAGAAATGCCTGTTTTTGAAGAATCCCAGTGCTTATGACACTGGTGTACAGGAAGGGAGATAGTATTATTAATGTTTTTACTTACAGTTTGTGCTTGGAGAGAGGCTAAGGGAATCTATTACTCTACAGTTCATCATCATGCAGGTTGCTTCACTTAGTTTTACTTAGAGGCACATGCTGAAATACTGCAAATTTAGCATATCTGACTTCACATGAATTTTTTTCTAAATCAAAATGAAATATTTTGTACTTTTAATATGGGAACTTTATAGTCTTTGCATAAAAGAATGAAGTAAGGAAGAGTAACAGTCCATATTGTTTCTTTCCATCACAATCTATGTAAAATCTGTGACTTATAACTTCATAAACATATGAAAATATAGAATCTCTGCTTATTGTGGGATTACATTTCTTTGAATAGTACTGTCCAACTCAAAAGGTAGCACATTTTATATTGGATGATAGATACTCATTACTTTATCCACCAAGAATTTATTTTTCTAGAAATGTCCCTACCTGATCTGAGGGACTGTCAATCAAGAGCTTAAATTCCCTTACAATAAACCCTGTACCTAGATGCAAGCTAGGTCTATCTATCTATCTATCTATCTATCTATCTATCTATCTATCTATCTATCTATCTATCTATCTAGTTTTATCTTATTTAAGCTTAATCTCTAGAACACCAAATTGTAAAAATGTTGATTTTTAAAACTATAATAAAGTATTTCAAAGTCAGCTAAATAATAAAGCTACTGCATTAATTTATCTGTAAAGTTTCTGACAAATGCTATGCTTTATAATGCATTACTAAGTAGAACTTAGTTATGATCACATCACATAGCATAGCATAGTTGGTAAAATTGTGATGCCTAGAATACAATTATCTGATGTTGAATCCCAGAGAAGTCAACTAATTACTTTTTGATCTTTACAAAGTTACTTACTTTTGTTTTCTTGTCCAAAGAGACTGCAATAACAAGAGGATCATTGTCCTGGAAACAAAGTGTTTCTGGGATATAGTAAGAACTCAATGAATGCCAACTACTATTTTTGGAGGTGCTATTGGAAAAGTTCATTATGATAGAGGCTATTTGTAGTAGCTACCAAATGGAGTGAGGGGAAAGTGAAGGATTATTTTCTATAGATTCATTGATGAGTTACTAAGAAACTATCCCACTGAGCTAATATTTTAGATAAATGACAGCATACAGGCTAGCAACACATTTATAGACATCTCTGACCTCAACCAGGTTGTTTCTCTAGAAGTCAAAAAAATGAGAAGTAGAAGCAACATTTGCATATTATTTATTCTAATTAGCAATTTGTGTTATTGAGAACTTCAAGGAATTTGGATATAAACAGGATGACATTATTTGCATGTTGCATTCAATCCATATATTGAAACAAAACCCATGGATATGAGGATGCATTTTTATTGTGTGTATATGTGAGAATCATTTTCTTGCCTCACTTTCACATTCAGAAGAGAATGAGACAAGGCAACAAGCATCCCATTCTATTCAGTGCACCTCAGGGTCTGTCATGCTGTTTTCTCTCACCAAAGAAGACAAGACATAAGTAGAGAAGAAATTAGCACTGACACATGGGCCAGAAAGAAAAGAAGCAGATAAAATTTCCTGAGCAATTCTGCAACTTACTATACAACTGAAAAATATATGAATTCAGTGGCATATATGAGTTTGTCAGCAGACGTTTTTTATATATTCAAAGACAGCTTCTTGTTAACATCTATTTGAGATTTCCCAAAAGTTCTAAATCTGAAAATTATCAGAGTAATTACATGTATTTTGATTTACAACATTAAATGTGCATAAGAAGTGATATGTAAGTTAAATATGGCCAGTGAATGATAACATAAAGCGTGAATATAACTTTTGAGCCTTAATCGGCAGAGGATTTCTATACTAGACACCAGTTTTGGACATGATCCAGTCTCTATAGTATGTCACTCGAGTGTAGACACCAGGCTTGTTTGGAAGAGCACACTCATCTCCCCAGCTTACAATACCAGCAAGGAACCAGGTGCCTTTAGAATCTGCACTAACCAGTGGTCCACCAGAATCACCCTAGAGGGAAAAAGAATAATGTACAATCACTATAATTTAAAGCTAAACACTGGATATTATTCTTTTATAGTACATACAGAGAAGAAAAGCAGACAAAAATCTCTAGATACGTTAATACTTCATTGGTACTAACCTAGAACTTTCTTCGTGTCCTATGAACATTAACTTAAATCTAAGATTCAAGTATATGTTTTTAGGTATAATAATATAATGAAGAAAAACAGACATGAAAAATTTCAACTGAAATTTTCATTCAGCAGAGCCATTGAAGGAGACATTGCTTAAATAATCATCAGTATACTGAGGAATGCTTTTCCCAAACCCCTATTTCCAGGTAGGGGTTGTGGAAAAGGGAGGTTTGTATTCATCTAACACCAATACTACATAATTTTCATCCTTCTTTCATGAACATAGCTCTAATTTTGTGAATTGTGTAATTTGGCTATATCTCATCAACACAGTTTTAACCTTTACACCTATTTCCCAGATTGATGAACCTTTTCAATGTTTGGATTTTCCTTTGCTCTAATCCTCATCATCCTGGATAATTTTCACATCTATAGGGATGATACAGTTAACATCTTAGCCCACTTTCTTTGCTTCCTTGACTCTTTTCATCCTCATTTTTATTCAATACCTCCATGTCACCATTTCTTGTCATTGCCTACTTGCTCTACTTTTGAAATACTCAGTGTGATGACTTCATGTTCTACTTGTTCTAGTTTACTAGGCACCTACTCTTCAACTTCACCACGAATGCCAATTTGCAAATTCCTTTCCTTTCTTTCACAACTTTATGTAGGATACATTCCTTAATTTACCCATACCACTATTCTCTCCATAATATGTTTAGCTCTTTATCATCCTGGACTCAATCATACACTGGGAAATACAATCATATTATAACATTATCACCTAACGATGTCTTTAGTGTGTCTGGCTACTAGTGAACTTTCTTTTATCATTTTTTAATCAGTCATTTAGAATTCTTGTGATTTCACAACTCAAAAGAATCTACTTCTATCACTCACAGCCCATTGTACTAATTTCAGATTCTGAGAATAAGCAGAGGGTAACAGTTAGCAATCCCATCCTTCCTTGCCTTGTCACTTGTAACTGAACTCATTTAATATTAGCTCATATTTGTTTCTATTTTCTTCTTAGACAGATCAATACAGTTCAGCTTTTAAAAAATGAGGAAAGTATTCACAAATAAACATTGTTTATGGTTAAAATGAGTACACACATATACATTTCAAAATATTCCATTGTTCATTTGTATATATCTCAGAACATACATTTACTCCAGTCAAGAGAATTAAGTTATTCATTACTCCACATATTTATGTATGAGAATATATGCAGTCCATTTTCATAGCATTTTCAAGCATACAACACATTATTATTAAGTTACTATGTTATATATTAGGTTCCCCAAACATTAATTTTGTAGTAAAGTTTTTTCTGTTTCAAGAACATCTTTCCATTTTTTCCTATTTCTCAGCCACTGACAACTATATTGTATTCTGTTTTGATGGCTTTGATTTTTTAAAGATTCAGTTGGAAAGTAATTGCAGTAATTCTATTTCTTTGTCTGACTTATTTCACTTAGCACAATGTTTTCTCTATTTGTCCATGATATCACAAGTGGCAAGATTCCTATTTTATAGGTAAAATTCTCTCTATATATTGTAATGCAATTTATAAAATATAATGTAACATACATTATATATGTGATATGTATATCATTCATAACTGATATATAAAATATATGATATTTAAACTATTTGTTTTTTCCCTTCCGCTCTCCAAATTATACCAACATCAAATACAGTGAAAACGGGTTATACCATGGGGGAAGGACATTCAAAGCAACAAAAAAATCACGTGGTACCTTATAAATACGTTAGGAACAATAGCAAGAAAGAAAAAAAACCACTTGTGTCCTTATCTTGGGGTTCATTGCAACAATAAGATGTACAAGATGCTATGTTGAAAAACGAACTTTATAATTCAGGTGGGGGGGATGTAGTTGTGGAGATGGGAGGGAAGGGATAGTAGGGGAAAAACAAAGGAGGCTACAATGCTTAATAAGAAATGTACTCATTACCTTGCTCATTTGATTGTAACCCTTCTGTACAGTATTTTCACAATAAAAAACTTACTTAACCAGTATATGTCTGAGTCAAGCAGAAAAGGTCAGATAAGTTGATGTTAGGTGAATAAACCCCAAGATAAGTATTCAAATGTTTTTTTTTTGTTTTTTTTTTTTCCTTTCATGCAATTGTTTCTGTCATATTTGTAAGGTGATTTCTATGTTGCTTTGTATGTCCCTCCCCCACAGTACAACCCATACTTTCAGTGTATTTGATGTTGTTATAATTTGTGGAGGGGAAGGGAAAAAAACAAATCGTTTAACTAGGGATACAGGTGGACCCATTGCAACAACGAGATGTACAAGTCGTTATGTCGAAAAACGAACTTTACAACTTT